CAACAAAAAAAATCTTTTTTTTGTAAACAAGTGTTGCAACTTTTTATTTGATCCTAAATTTTTTTCAAAAATTATATCAAAATTCCTAACTTTTTTTTATCTGTCATATGTTTTGTCTAGGAACAGTGTTTTCACCCTTCACAGGCAAGTGTAAAAATGTGTAAACTTTGAAAAAACGTGTACAAAGAAAATTTTTGTTTTCAGAACCCACCTGCCCCACCGTCTATCCCTATCTGTGACCTAGAAAAAATTTATTGTCAGTGCATAAATAATTCACTTTTCGGGGTTAAAGATGTTTCCATTTACTAAAATGAAAAAAAATGTATTGTCAGTGCATAAATAATTCACTTTTCGGGGTTAAAGATGTTTCCATTTACTAAAATGAAAAAAAATGTCTGTATAACAAATAGGGGTGGATTCGGTTCGGGCCACCAGGCCCGGCCCGGTACTGTGCGGGCCCGGGACCGGCCTGGTCGGGCGGTCCGGGACCGGGTGTGGACCTGAACCGGTGGGAATGGGCGGGGCGGGCACGGTTTCGGATAAATGTCATCCGGCTGGATCGGGCCCGGGCCCGGGTCCGGTCTGATTTTAAAAAAATAAATTAAATTGGGCTACTAGCCGTTGGGGGTGGGTGGGGTGCAGGGGGGTCCGGGGGGTTGGGTGGTGGGGGGGTGGTTGAGGGGGGGGGTAAAAAAACCTATAAATACTCCTAATCTTAAACATTTTTTCATATCTCTTCTCCAATTCTTCCTAAATCCTATTTTTAACTCTCTACTCTCTAATTCTCTTATTCTTTAATATATTATATTTATTATTTATATATCTACTTTATAGTTTATACTTAAGAAGTTAAGATGGAAAATCAAGATGCCATTATACGGTATAATTTTGAAAAGCAGAAGGACCCGAAGACCGAGATGTGGTACGCAATTTGCAAATGGTGCGAGAAAAAATGTAGCATGGGGGCTTCAGGCGGATACGGGATGACAATCAAGCATATGAAGTCATGTGACAAAGCTAAAGGATCGGGAGGTGCGGGAAGTTCCGATTGATTTCAAAATGTTTGTCTCTTAAAGTTTGTTTTAATTTTCAAATGTAGTTCCTATTTCATTTCAAATAAATGCACTTGAAGTTTGTTTTTAATACTCGTATAAAACTATAAACTATAAAATATAAATTATATAAAAAAAAATTAACCGGCCAGGCCCGAACCGGACCCGACCCGTGACCCGGGCGGGTGGCCCGGCCCGAACCGGACCCATCCAACCCTCGGGCCGGTCCCGGGCCCATGTCATACAAACCGGCGGCCCGACCGGGCCCGACCCGGCCCGAGTCCATCAATAATCACAAACAAAAAACATTTGGTGTGTAAGTCAACGTGTACAAAACTTAGGATGAAATATGATGAATTGATGAGTTTAGGTGGTTGCTTGTTTGTACGCTATCTCACATAACTTGTGACAGAACGTTATATAATAAACAAATATTTTATTATTACTGATTCAAATCATTTCAATTGAAAATTTTGTCATCACGAAATCCAAAACTACACCTCCAGCTCTAAGAACAGCAAAAAGGTGACTCATCTTAATTTGCCAAAAATGATAACAAAGCACTGAATTGAGAAAACGTGATGATATTGTTATACAGAGTAAATAAATTAAGATTCTTGTTATCACCAATCAACAGTGTACATAATACGAAGTAATAGTAGGGATGGACCCGGTAATAGTAGGGATGGACCCGGGCCGGTCCGGTTCCGGTTCCGGTTCCGGGCCGGGGCCGTGCGGGTTTTTTTTGCAAAATGTTGGGCCCGGAACCGGCCCGGGTTGATACCGGGTCCGAGCCTAACCAGGCCGGGCCCGGGTCAAGTTCAATTTTTTGTTTTGTTTTTTGGTTTCTAATTAACACCCGACCCCCCCCCCCCCCCCTTCACCCCCACCCCCCAAACCCCCCCAAAACACCCAACCCCAACCGGGTCCGGCCCGAACCGCCCGGGCCGGTTCACCAAAGTTGGGCCCGAGCCTGGCCCGCCGACCCGCCCAAACGGGCTAAAAGCCCGGAACCGGCCAACCGGTCCCGGTCCGGTCCGGGGCCCAAACAATAACGGGCTGGGCCGGTTCCGGGTTGAGCCGGCCCGGTTTAGTCCATCCCTGTATGAAACAAACATATAGTTTTTTAGTAGAAATTCGGAATCGTAACCATAAATATATATTAAATATAATGCAAAGAGAAATATATAGTTACCAAACGATATGATAAAATACAGTAAAAACGACGTGAGGATAGAAGTTATCGGCCATCATTTTAAGTGAGGTTGGATATGGTCGTTCAAAAGAAGTTTTACTTTAAAGAAATTAAACTATTCAGAATATGCGTGAAACATGAATCTTAGATAAAAAATGATTAGGAATATCTAAAGTTTTATTTTCAATAAGGCAGTGTGTTCGTTTGGTATAAGCGATGTGGTCAGGGACGGATCCAGGAAATTTGATCAAGGGGGCGAAATCGCAAAATTTTATACGATCATACGGAGTATTACAAAATGTAGTATATATTTGCTAAACTGTTTAGATTACCAAATGCATAATATTTCACATAACTTCAACAAAAAAGAACAACAAAATAGGAATTATCATTCAACCCCTTTTATGTATGAAAGTTGGGCATCCTAAACTGAACCCTATGATTTTTTAAAAGATCAAATTCATCAATGATAGAATCTGTTGAAACCCCCTTAGCTCTATCGTTTTTTTTAAATCCGGAAGGCAAACCACAAAAAAAAACCTAGCTATCTATCTCTCTCTCTCTCTCTCTATATATATATATATATATATATATATATATATATGTCGCCAGGTAGCTTGAAAGAAAGTCATCCTCCATTTTATTTCGGAGGCAAGTTTTCACAATTTTCATGGCTGAAAATGCTCTTTCTGTGATTGCCGTTGAAACTGGAAGAGTTAGTAAGAGACGAATTATCCTATCAACAAGAGAATAAGAGTAATCGCTCAGACGGCAGACTCTCACCCGAAGAGAAAGAAAAGAAATGAGTAATCTCTGGCTAGTGGCCGCTGCTGGAATGCCGACTGCATAGCGATTTAGGGATTACTGATTAGGGCTCTCGCGGTCTCGTCTCTCGTAAGTCTCTTTCCGTACTTGAAAGTCTAATTCGCTATTCTTACAGACCATCAGTATAACATTTTGCACTTCTAATTTGCCTAACTTTTTAATCAGACATTATTACCATTTTTTATTATCACATTAATGGGCTTATGGCCCAATATTTTTATGCATTTAACATTTTAGCCATTTAATTAAAACCACTAGCAATATACTAGTACTCTATAGAATTTAAAATTTCAAATTTGATGGCTAATTGTAGTTTTTAGTTTTCCTATAAGGTAATTGAAAGTTTTCTATGAGCTAAAAGTGGCGATTTTCAGTATTTGGGTCAAGGTAAAATTCAAAAATCACAAGAATACTTACTACATATATATACTAAAAAAAATCCCAAGGAGGACGACCCTCCTCCCCCAAATCCATCCCTGGATGTGGTCTATTCATTAGAGTTATATATTCTTGTGGACATGCAACGTTTGGCGTACACCTTTTTTATGATCATGCCAAATTGATCCTGTAAGATGTTATGTTAACCTAAACATCCAAATGTCACTTATATTTTTGGACTAGACTTTGAAAGATGTCACACGTTAATTAGACATGTTCAACCTAGATCAAAGAAAATTTCAAAACAATTAAAAACGTCCTCGTAAAAGTAACAAAACAATAGGGGGTATTTGAGCACCCCACCGACTAGGATAGAATAGCTTATTTGTTTCCATCTCTTTTTGGGTCTTATTATGCATGGGACCGGTGCTTCCGAGTTCCGGCCTCTACTATTTGGCCGGCCGTCTACGGGCGGGGTAGGCATATGCATTTGGAAAGAGTTGAAGCAGCCGACGCCTTTAATTGACTAATCTTTAAAGAGTATTCAAAGTCAAATCTCATCAAATTCTGCTCAACGTTTACCAACTTTATTGTATTAATTATACAGTATTTATTATAAATAAATATACACGTATTGACGTATCTACGACCCCGTCTCTTTAAATTTCCGTTCTGGGAAGTTGGAACCGTTCCGCCGGTGGGATGTTGGGTAGTTTCTTCACTGGGCTAGCTAGGCTATGTTTGATGCAGTCATGCCGTTTTTTATTCAATCAGAATTCCAAACCTATACCAATTCAAGCAATTGTTAGCCAAGGAGCTGACTAAAATCACTGAAACAATTGCTTGGCATATAAACAAATTGTTGTTCTAATGAGCAACACAATTTTTAACTAGTTTATAACACTAAAAAATAACGGCATTGACACGAATTTGGCACGATTTGATTGACGATTCCGTGCCAAATAGCTCGTGACATCGTTCACCCGGATTTGGGGTATCTGTGCATATTAGGTTAATAGTCCAAAATCAATATGAAATGCATCTGATCTATATTTTCAAAGCACTAAAATTTTGTGTGATACTCGCTTCATCCCGCTAACAATGAGACAAGAGGAAGTGACACGTAAATTAATAAAATGTGATTTATGTGTTTGATATTGAATTGATAAAGTAAGAATAAAGTAAGAATGATTTAGAGCCACACAAACTTTACCAAATTTAGTATGAGACAATCTTAGTAGGACGGACCGATAAGGTAAAATGGAACAATCATAGCGGGACGAAGATAGTACTACGTAATAGTTAAAATGTTAAATGCATGCAGGCCTTTTTCGAATAAATTAATCCTACATTCCTACTTAGTAATATCTTGCAGCTTTCAAATTGTTAACAAGCTGAAATTGTTTTATTTTCATAATGTTTCCAAATTGTGATTCTGAGTCAATGTTGTCTTTATTTTATTGTGACCAAATTTCCGCTTGCTATTACTTTCCTTTATCACTCGAGTAGTATAAAGATATTGATAAAAACATAGTAAATGCCAGTCGTACTTGATTAAAAACCTGACAAGCAAACTAGCAGTCCAAAGAATAACTACACATTCTGTTAGAACTAATACTCCTTCCAGCACTACAAGAATATAATTACACAAAAGGGGGAAAGAATCAGATATAGATAAACCAATGTGAAAGTAGTCTAATAAGGTAAATTCTCATCAATCAGAAACAATGGAGATCAGACCACTAGAGATGCTACCATGACTATCTCCACAAAGAGCCAAAGCCCTATCCAAATTAGCAACAATGTCACTCATGGACGGCCTGTCTTTCCCTTCCAAATTCACACAATGCAAAGCGGTGTAGGCCACCAGTTCAACCGCATCCGACTCGTTTGGCTCCTCCGGCAACCCGACCCTTGGGTCCAAGATTTTTTTTACTTCTCCCGCCATTATCGGTGGCACAGCATAGTCCACCAAACTCATCGGCTCCCCGCCTTCTCCCTTAAATATCGCTCTTTTCCCGGTCAACAATTCCAACAACACAATGCCAAGACCATACACGTCACTCTTTGCGGTCAGCACATTCAGACCGTAGTACTCCGGGTCGATGTACCCGACCGTCCCGGCTTTGCTCATTGGTCTGCTGTTATCCACGGGACCCATTAACGATAATCCGAAATCGGAAACTCTAGCCGTCCAATTCCCATCGAGTAGTATGTTTGATGACTTGATATCACGGTGGATGATAGGCGGGACTGCGTAGCTATGGAGATATTCTATCCCACGTGCCGCGTCTAACGCGATCTTAATCCTCATTTTCCAAGAATTTACTAAGCTACTGCTCTTATCGACATTGTTCTTATCATGTAAATGATCATGAAGAGCTCCATTCTTCATGTATTCATACACTAAAAGCCTTTCTTCCCCTTCCTCACAAAAACCAACCAATCTAACCAAGTGTTTGTGGTGAAGCCTAGACAAGAATGAAAGTTCTGATTGAAACGCGGTTTCTTTCTCCTGGAATACCTTCGTCGCGGGTCCACCTCTCTTGATTGCCACCTCTCGCCCGTCACGCAATTTCCCTTTGTATACGATTCCGAAACTGCCACCGCCGATCTTGTTCTCCAAGGAGAAGTTTTTGGTCGCAGCTACGAGGTCGGGGAATGTGAACTCCTCAGCAATGTCGGCTTGTTTGAATGACATTCCGCTCCTTTGACGCCTCACCAACAGAGATCCTTGTCGCCGGATCGTTGAGGATCTCGAGACAGGACCGCTAGAGGAGTGGCGAGGGCCATTGATAGTGGGCTGAACTGAGTTGTGGATTTTCTGCTTCCCAAAACAAACACCTGTCCATAGGCAGTAGATAATGGTACATATTCCTGCAAATGCCCCAACTGATCCGACCACAGCAAAAGCCAATAAACCCTTCGAAAGCCCTTTCGAATCCGATGGCGGAGATGACAGCGGGGGATTAGTTGGCGGCGGTGGTGGTGGTGAAGAAATCGGAATATGATCACAGGGTTTACAGATTTTTTTATTACCAGAACAGAGGGATTGATAATCTGAGAAAACACCACAATCATTACAATCACTCTCAACACATGGACCTGGAAGAATCTTGGAAAGAGGGAGATCAGATGATCCGTTTCGCCAACCGGGTCCCCAACATACCACCGTGAAATTGCTTCTTCTCAACCCACAAGTGAAATCCGGGCCGGAAACTATTGATTCGAAAAACACGCCCTTTACTACACTATCCAAAAACGTACCTTTTCCACCCCAGCAAACAATTGTTTGATTTGCTCTCCTAATTGCGCAGCTATGGTTTAAGCCTAAAGATAATCCACTGTATTCATAAGCTGAATTGAAGGGCACGTCTAATTCACCATTATAATTGCTTCCTTTGCAGATTACAAAGCCGGTTGTGTTCATCCCACAAGCAAATCTTCCGCCTGCGTAGATACTCGCCATAGATTCGTTTTGGAACTCTCTTTCTAGAGTTATGGCTATGGGGGTTTCTCCCCAGCACGAAACCCTGTTCGAGGACTTCAATAATCCGCAAGAAAACCCAGACCCGGATGAAATCGACTGAAATCCCGATGACCCATTCGGTTGCTGCGCCGAAAACGACCCGTCCCGCCAGCACATGGCGTTTCGGGTCGACCTGTCAGTTAACCCGCAGATTTGGGTGTCGCCGACCACGACGGTTGAAAGTGACGTTGTGAAGTTCCTGTAGATCCGTTTGGGTGAGAAGGTGGAGTTCCAGCACAGGAGGGAGGACCCGCCGGAGCGGACTCCGCAGAGGAGGTTGATCCCGCCGGCGATGGAGTCGAAGGATACGCCGGGATATACGTTCACCGGCGTGCTACGCCCGTTGGTCAAGCACTGGAGAGTCTGGGTTGGTTGACCGGCGACGATGCCGCAGACGGTGACAGAGGCGCCATACATGACGGCCAAGGTGGTGGAAGAGCCACCGAGGCCATTAGCGGGAAGAGGGAGAAAAATGATCGCTATCGCCAAATTCAGGACTGTAGCAGCGGTGGTGGCCGCAGCTAACGGCGTCGTCATTTACAGAGCTCCGGCCCTCATCTGTAGAGAGACATTGAAAGTTTTTATTATATTTGAAAAGTAATCTTCCATTTCAGGACAGTTTTGAGCTCAAACCAAACTCTCCTATTGCTTTGCTCTTCTTATATCACACGTGACAATTGTGGCCCCACTTTCGCTGAAATTCGTAGAATAACAACTTCTGTGTGTACATGTGGAATTTTACTTTTCAAAACTCCAAATGTTTCACGTTGAATTGTATTTTCTATTTCACACTCCAACTATGGGACCAGTATGCAGGGGCGGAGCCAGGATGTGACCAAGAAGGGGCGAAGTATTAATGTGTTGTTTACCTTAAACATTAGATAATGTCTACCTACCCTTGAATTTATTTAGGTTTTTACACTTCATCGATGCAATCATATCTAATATTGTGTACTCCGTAATATGTAGTACTATGTATATTTTTGTTATAAAATAATTAAATAATTACGCCTCTAAATTAGCGCGGGCACCATGGTGTAATGAGGATTTTCTTATTAACTATTAAAAATGGGAGATAATTAAAGTGTTTTTTGCTACCACACTAAAATTAACAAAAATTGAGGGGTCAAAATATATTACAAGATAAAATTTAATGAAATTTAAAAAATTGCTAAGAGACCAAAGCCATATGAGGCCTGAACCCCTACTGATTATTCAACATTTCACTCATTGAACTCTAAATTTATTGTAACTATCATTACAATTTTATTAATCCAAATTAGGTGTTGTTATCCTTTTGGAGTTTCGGTTATCACTTTAAACGTTGCTTGCTTGCTTGCTGGTTGCTAATATAAAAGCTTTACTAATAAGTAATACGAAGTACTAATATAAAAAAAGGGAGAACTATCAAATAAACCCTCGAACTTTCATAAAAATGCAAATAAGTCCTTTTTCAGGAGGCTTTGTCCAGCTGTCGCCATTTGATGCGGTTTCCGGTTGAATTTTTTGATGAAATTTTTTGAGCATCTTCTTTATTAAATCTAGTTTACCCATACCAAATTTCACCTAAAAATTAAATCGAGAAGGCAGTCAAATGATTTTCAGAAATATACTGCGCTGTCTAACTGTGCAGTTATCTTTAAAAATTCAATTGACTACCTTACCGATTGAATTTTTAGCTGAAATTTGGCATGAGTAAATTAGACTTAATGAAGAAGATGCTCAAAAATATTCATTAAAAAATTCCATCGGAAACCGCATCAAATGACGACAACTGGACAGAGTCTCCTATAAAAAGGCTTATTTGCACTTTTTATGAAAGTTCGAGGGCTTATTTTATAGTTCTCCCTAAAAAAAATTAAAATGTTGGGAGGGGCCATGGCCCCCTTACCCCTAGGCATAGCTCCGCCCCTGCCAGTGTCATCTATATGGATTATATGTGAGCTTTTCTTTAAAAAGATATGCTCCGTACAACAATGTTTTGATTTTAAAAAATGCGGAAAATGTGAGTGTTAAAAACCTCACAATCTTTGAGACGACCCCCTCCCCCTGAACCTAGTTTTCCATGCAGTACTTTTTGTGTTTCTGTTTATCCATAATATTGCTATGCCTCCCCGTTTGGTTGTTGGAAAAAGTGTTAATAAATTGCATTAAATGGTCATTTTGGGGTAATTATTTGAGTGAGGTCTACTTCCGATTTGGGTCGGGTCAAAGTGGTTTCGAATTGTCCTTGTTAAAGGATACAATTCGATATATGGTACGCTCAAAACGGATAACATGTGAATGAGAATTTGATTCTCGAAGTTTACCCGTTAGAATGGAAAAACTGGGAAAATGATGGGTTTCTAGTGTGTTTTATCCCACACCGGAAAACCCAAGGGATTTTCACCCCCTTATAAAGGGAACCCACCTTGAGAGAGTTAAGATTGCTACGGGTAAAGGCTCTCTCACGCGCGCGGGGGGGGGGGGGGGGGGTGCAAATCAAATCCCGAAATCGGAGAAGAAAAACCGCGACTCGTGTGCGCGGGCGACCTGCGGACACGAATGTCGTCCGAAAATGTATTCTGGTGGAGGTATTCTGTTGGCTTCATACCAGAGATGCTCCACCTCTGGTGGGGTATTCTGGTCGCGCACCAGAATTGTTCCGAGCCATTTCGCCAATAAAATGCCCAACGGACTGGTCATTGATGTCCAACGTTCAGGTCCATTAACACCCCATTTAACACACAACAAATCGTCCTATAAAAGGCTGGCAGGTGCTTTGCAACAATTACACGTTCACAAGCAAACATACACACGTTTTACCTCTGAAAAACACTCTGCTAGCATTCCGAAAACTCCTTAGTATTCAGTCTTTCTTCCCGTTCGCCGGAACTCTCGTTTGTGTGCTCAAACGTTAGTTCGTTAGCCACCGTATCCTGGGAAACGGTCGTTGCAACGCTCCTAGCACCGTGGGAGGCGACGAATACGTTTTAAGGACATCGTGCGTAGCACGAGCTCTGGCTAAAATCTGCTCCATCTATTTTCTGATTTTCTTTGGCTAATTTTTATTATTAATTAATTTTATTTAATTAATATTTCTTCGTTTTTTCCGAAACACACCCAACAATCTTAAAACGTATTCGGTGATTGTTCTACTCTGGTAAACAATCTTAATACGCATTTTTCCTTGGTTGTTGTACTGCGGTAAACAATCTAAAAACGTAGTTTGTCACTTTGGTGAATGAACTTATTTTTTGTGTTTTCGGAAAACGTTGAAAACGTTTAAAATGGCTTCACAAGAAATTGGAAATGTTGGTGGGCAGAACGTGCCTAACGATAATCACTCTGAAAGTGGAGCGCCGGTGAACAATGGTTCACAACGCGGTGCATCTACTTTGGGCAACCAAGGGACAATCCCTATGGTTACCGTGCCAAGCAACTCTGTGGAGAAACCCGAGAAATTTAACGGGTTAAACTTTAAGAGGTGGCAGCAAAAGATGCTATTTTATCTCACTACTCTCGGTCTTGCTAGGTTCTTGACCGAGGATGCGCCGGTAGTAACCGGGGGTGAGGTAGATGTGCAATCTCTCAACGTGGTTGAGGCATGGAAGCATTCAGACTTCCTTTGCCGAAACTATGTGTTGAACGGGCTGCACGATGCTTTGTACGACGTGTATAGCAAATTAGCTACGGCTAAGGAGTTATGGAATGCTTTGGACCACAAATATAAAAGCGAGGATGTCGGCGCAAAGAAATTTGTTGTCGGTCGATTCCTTGATTTTAAAATGGTGGATTCGAAGACGGTCTTGAGTCAAGTTGAGGAAATGCAAATGATCTTCAACGAAATTCGAGATGAAGGAATGACGGTTAGCGAGTCTTTCCAAGTGGCGTCAATTATCCATTTATTGCCGCCGGCTTGGAAGGACTTCAAAAACTACCTTAAGCATAAGCGAAAGGAAATGAACTTGGAGCAATTGATCCTCTATCTTCGGATTGAAGAGGATAACCGGAAGAACGATGGGAAACTCCCAATTGTTCATGGCGCCAAGGCAAACGTGGTGGAGCATGCAAAAGGCTCCAAAACCAAGAATAATGGGAAGAGCAAGCTCGGTCCCAAGGGAGGCGTTTCCAAGACGAAGTTCAACGGAAAATGCTTCAATTGCAATAAAAACGGACACAAGTCCGCGGATTGCAAGGCACCCAAGAAGAAGAGGGACTCTCAAGTCAACTTGGTGCAAGGTGGGCAAAAGGATGAAGACATCATCCTTGCGGCTGTGGTAACCGAGGTCAACCTCGTTGGATCCAATTCCAAAGAGTGGTTCGTGGACACCGGTGCAACCCGGCATATTTGCTCAAACCGGGAGTTATTCACAACTTTCAAGCCATCAAGTGGTGAGAAAGTGTGCATGGGTAACTCGGCTCATTCCGCGGTTGAAGGTGTGGGCAAAGTGGTCCTGAAGATGACTTCGGGCAAGGAGCTGACTCTAAACCAAGTGTTGTTCGTTCCGAAAATACGCAAAAACCTGATTTCCGGCTCGTTGTTGAACGAGCATGACTTCCGCATGGTTTTTGAGTCGGACAAACTAGTTTTGTCTAAGTCGGGAATGTATGTGGCCAAGGGGTATGCATGTGATGGGCTGTTTAAGCTCAGTGTAACAACTATTATTATTAATAATAATAAAATCCCTTCTGCTTACATGCTAGAGTCTTCCAATGTGTGGCATGGTAGACTAGGACATGTTAATTTTAATTCTATACGTAGATTAATTAACATGGAACACATTCCTAAATTCACAATTGATGTGAAGCACAAATGTGAAGTTTGTGTAGAGGCAAAACTAACGAAAACGTCTTTCAAATCGGTTGAAAGAAAAACGGAACCACTAGAATTAATTCATAGTGACGTTTGTGATTTTAAATCAACACAAACACGTGGTGGTAATAAATATTTTATTACCTTTATCGATGATAGTAGTCGCTATAGCTATGTTTATTTATTAAAAAATAAACACGAAGCAATCGATAAATTCATTCTTTATAAGAATGAAGTGGAAAACCAACTTAATCGACGGATTAAAATGGTTAGAAGTGATCGAGGTGGTGAGTATGAAGCACCAATTGGTGACTTCTGCGCAAGCGTGGGTATAGTACACGAACGTACCGCACCCTATTCACCTCAATCAAACGGTGTTGCCGAACGAAAGAATCGCACATTGAAAGATATGATGAACGCGATGCTAATAAGTTCGGGCTTGCCACAAAATATGTGGAGCGAAGCTGTCTTGTCAAGCAATTACCTTTTAAATAAGGTTCCCCGGAAAAAATATGATAAAACTCCGTACGAGTTGTGGAAAGGCAGACGGCCTTCCTATCAATATTTAAAAGTGTGGGGGTGTTTGGCAAAAGTGCTTGTACCAACACCTAAGAAAATAAAAATAGGTCCAAAAACGGTGGATTGTATTTTTATTGGATATGCACAAAATAGTAGTGCTTATCGGTTTTTAGTGTACGATTCGAATAATCCGGATGTACATAAAAACACAATAATTGAATCAAGGAATGCTTCATTCTTTGAAGATGTATTTCCATGCAAGTCCAACGAAGGACCTAACACGTCAAAACGAACATTTGACGTAGCTATGGAA